GTATTTATAGGTCTGCAAATGGAAGGATAAAACTGAGGTTTTTTGTTTAAAAGAATCATGAATATAGGAGATATGATGCTTCAAAGGCACTTATAGAACACAAATTTTAATTATCTGTCATTATCATTATTTATTGTAGTATTCAATACTTATTTGTAGACCTTATAGCATTTGGAGTAGTTTCTTGAAAGGATCATGATAGCTGCCATTGTGAAAGGGGTGTGGCTTAAGGCAAACACGGATGGTAGGTAGTCTCGCGGGGCCAGACTCAATTTTTAGAATAGAGTCTGGTTTCATGCCTAACATCAACTCGTGCTTGTCTGGCGGAATTTGGTCGACCTAATCAGATCACTGTTACTATGGTTACATTAGAATCCGCCCACGTACGGCAAGTCTATTATCAAGAATGGAACTAACTGAGATATTATATACTTTCTTTCTATGACAACTGCCGACTGGATTGCCTTTATCTGCTCTGATGGTTAGACAATTAGGCAAGTAAAGAAATGCATCGAGAAATAATGTGCTTGGATCCAAGATGAATTCAGCCACCATGATTGCTCCAACTTCAGTACTGCCAGAAAAAGCCAAAAATGAGAAGTACTTGACTGCTTTATTTTTCTTGATGTCAGGAAGCAAGTATGAAGTATAAAATAAGTATACAAGCAAGTATAAAATCAGTATAAAAATAATAAATCCACAATATTGTGGTGCGTGGGCGTATTTATAGAGATTAACATTCCTTGCCCACGCAAATCAAAACATTGAAAACATGAGTTGATATTAGGCTTGGCACCAGACTCTTATTCGGTAAATTAGAGTCTGGCCAGCGAGACTAGGATGGTAGGCACTAATTGTGCTAATTGCCAAGAGTCTCCAATCCCTCTAACAGTCGTATATCTATGGCTGTACACTATCACGATAGTGCAACTATCAATACTATCGCCCAGCCCTACTATACAGTAATCTTCACAATCTGAATCTTGAACTTAGGCCTACTAGTGGCAGTCGTCTGTCCAAACTCCAGCAGAGTGCTCCTTAAGGCATCACTGTGACTTAGACATGCTCTTCGGCCTCTTCCAGCATAGGTCCATGTGTTATAATGCTGCTGAGTGTCGAAATTGGAGGGAAATGGCGAAATTAGAAGAACTTTCATCATAATTTACAAAACGAATAATTAGAATTAATTTGGAAATAAAAGTGCTTTAAAATTAATTTTATTTTCAGAATTAGAGGTGTGAAATTTTAGAAGAATTACGGTAATAATAATAATGATAATAA